ATGGGCCGGACCGGGCTATACTGGACCAGAACTGATTATGACAATCCACTATGATTTATAACACAACTAATCATTATCTTAAAAGTCACGAATAAACTTTAAATTAACAATCAAGTAACGTTTAACTTATTTTTCTATTATTAAGATCATTATTATATATCAAGTACAACCCATACAAACATGGAACCAAATACAACATTAGGTAATCTCTGAAATTATTAACCGAAGTTGATTCCTTGTGCTAGAGGTAACTCATTCCCATAGTTGATCGTACTGTGAAAGAAAAACAAACCGATTCAATAACCAAAAACTTAAACCGGAAATTTTGGAAAAGAAGAGAGCATTTTGAGATTTTTACCAAGTYGATCGACGCATGTACTGTTTCCATGAGTCACTTCCGGCTTCACGACCACCACCAGTCGCCTTTTCGCCACCGAAAGCTCCTCCGATCTCAGCTCCATTCGTCGGTATGTTCACATTCACTATCCCACAATCACTTCCCATTGGTCTAGTAGTAAAAACCATCACAGTGAAAAGGAGATTTCAGTAAAATTAAACCGGAAAAGATGAGTGAATTTTGTGTTTTTTTGTAGCGCTTACCCGATCCATTTGAAGATGTTTTCGGGTTTACGAGTGAATATCGAGCTGCTTAGACCTTGAGGAACCGAGTTGTTTATCGTAACAGCTTCTTCAAATGACTATCCACAAGAAAATGGTTTGTAAACAAACTTTTTTAAAGTCATTTCTGAAGAAATTTTGATGATTTTAGAGACATTTACCTTAAACTTTAGAACATATAGAACCGGAGCAAATAGCTCTTCTTTAACAACATTAGCATCCGCTGATATCTCGATTATCGTAGGCTCCACAAAGTTTCCTTCACCTTCGATTGCTTTACCGCCCGTTAGTATTTTACCGCCCTGCAAATGCAAGGTTTGTTTAACCTCTTTTAAAAGTTCTTGGTAAGGCAAGCAAAGCATAGAAAAGTGAGGTACTTGCCTGTGATTTGATAACTTCGATTCCTTTCTCAAAGTTTTTCTTTGATTCAGGAGTATGTAGGGGTCCTAACAATGTCCCTTTTTCAAGAGGATCACCGATTTTGACTTGTTTGTATGATGCAAGGAGTTGCTCGAGTACTTTAGCATAGACACTCTCATGCAATAGCTTTAAGAAAATAAAAGAACATATAATGCATTAAGCAAAAGGAACAGTAGAAGCATCGAAAGCGCTATGATGAGATTTAGATTATTGTACCAGCCTACGGCAAGTTGTGCAACGTTGACCAGCAGTTCCAACCGCAGCAAACAGAACCGAACGAGCAGCTAGCTGTATGTCAGCATCGTCCATGACTATGATTGCATTGTTTCCACTCAATTCAAGCAGTGTTTTGCCGGATCTCGCACTCACTGTTTGTTGTACCATTAAGCCCACCTATGCATAATCGAAATATTCAGATAACGAGTACGCTCAATGTGTTTGGATGGGTAGTGAAAGATTATAGTAGACGAAAGTACCTTAGAGCTTCCAGTAAAGGATACTAAAGGAATGCGTGTGTCCTTGGCTATTGCTTCACCAATTTCAGCACCACCACACATGGCAGTAAAAATAGCACCGGGTAAATTGTTCTTCTCTAAAACTTCAGCTACTAGCTTGGTCATTGCGATAGTTATTAACGGTGTAGTTGGAGCACCTTTCCTGTGGAATCACATGTATTAATTATACAGATTAGGCCAAAAGGAACGGTAATAAACATCACTGTCATTGTCATTGTCAAGACTAATATAATTTCTGAGGATTAGTTAAAGAATCGACGAAGATAGCAATTGTAGAATATAAATATCGTTAAGTCAGCTTTGTGAAGTAAGGAATGGCTAAATAATTAGGTTCAAGGTTGTTACTTACCAGACGACACAGTTTCCACAGACCAGTGCAATACAAGCATTCCAACCTGCAATACCACAACATTGTCTATAAATTTATGGAACAGAAAGTGGAACAATAAACTTCCATACCGCATTATCAGTTCTTGTACTTCTCAATTATAGCTAACTCATAAAGCCACAAATCTTGTTGCCAAAATATGAGAAGCTTCATCTATTACAGAGGTAGGTAAGAATCATGGCGGAGTTTCATGTGCAATCTTATGAGACATATTACCTAGTAAGATGTTTTTACAGTCTTATATCGTTCCTCTATTTCATTAATACTTGAAATTGGACATAAGACTTACCAAGAACTGCACATGGAAAGTTAAACGCCGTGATGACACCAACAATGCCAAGAGGATTCCACATCTGCGTTAAAAAATATCCAAGCATAATGTTAATCATGTCCTAAGAAAAGTATTCTACGCAACTCCAACGGCAAAAAACTCGCAATTCACCTCCAACATCATGTGATTTGGGCCTGCAACAAGAAACGATTTGAGTTTAGACACAAATCTTTAGGAGAAATTTAACTACGATATAACTAACTTAGGAGGTTATTTGTTATATAAGCTTTATAGACAGACTACTGTTACTAGAAGCCAGAACTCACGTTCTGAAGGTATGACCGATCCATTGAGTTGTCTGCTCAAACCCACAGCAAAATCACACATGTCAATTACTTCCTGCAAAAGTTGCACTCACTGTATTAGCATATATGGTATATGTATCAATGACAAGAAACTAAGTTTTGCCGAGTAAAGATACCTGAACTTCACCAATTCCTTCGGCGAGGATCTTTCCCATTTCAAGCGAAAGAAGACGGCCAAGATAGTCAAGTTTAGATCTTAATGCATCTCCAATTTGTCTCACAATATCACCTCTCTTTGGAGCAGGAACCTGATCAAAGATATTTCGTTAGTTACAATGCTGCAATTTGCCTCATAAAAAAAAAAAAAGCAAATTCACTTAGTGAAATCCTATTCGTAACTTACCTGCATCCATTTTTTCGCTGCTTCCTCACAAGCTTTCAAACCAATCTCGTAATCTTCCAAAGAAGCTTCCACAACTTCACCTATTGGCTGCATCATTCAAATTAACCATCTCGATTATACAAGAACAAAAAAAAAAAGTGATCCTTTTTTTTAAGCACAATAGAGTCTCTAATAAACTCATTAAACCAAATTCAATCCACAAACTAATCCAACAAGAAACATTAGCTCAAATTTGTTCTAATCTACAAATTGTCAGACATATGTTTCAAATCATGTAAGAAGAATCTAGAAACCTGATTGTTTGCAGGATTCAAAGTAGACACAACAGGTCCGTTTCCTTGCCATTTGCCACCAACGTAACATCCCAAGTTATGAGAACTCAATCCAATCTCACTCAGAAACTCATACTCTTTGTTCAAAGAACCCATCTCTGCAAAATTCACAAAACGATCAAACCCAAGTACATGGATTAAAGT